AACGCCGTTGAACCTGCCAACAACAAAACAAGGACCGTAAAGGACGCGCAAAAAAACACGATCAAAATTTTTAAGGACGGCAAAAAAAACGGGAGACAGGCCGTTATCACCACACAAACAAAAACAAACGATAAACAACACGAGGACAGCAAAAAATCCAAAAAAACAACAAACAGCGATGCAAATCACAGCACGTGCACCAAAAAGGAGCACAGCCCCAAAGACAACCACGAAAACACCGGCTGCCGTGTTTCAGGTGCACAAACGCGCATTGCAGGCACACACCAACACACAGGCAGCTCAGCCGTGCTGAACTCGTCCGTAAAAAATTTTTTAATTCGCGTGCCCCACCAGAACGACGTTTTGAAAGTGAAAATACGCCAAAAGAATGCGCACGTGCCGGTGCCCAAAAAAGGGCTTTCCAATCTTGGCAACACGTGCTACATGAACAGTGCACTGCAGTGCATGATAGACCTGCCGCTGCTCACCACATTCATACGCAGCAATACGTTTAAAGGGCGGCTTACCAACGCGTACAAGGAGCTGCTAGCGGAGTATTCGAGCGACAGCGCGTTGGTCGTGCCCGCCGAGTTCAGGCGGAGCGTGGTGGAGTGCACGAAGCGTTTCTACGGAAACAAAGAGCAGGACGCATCGGAGTTTTTGATATGCGTGATTGAGCGGATGTGTGAGGAGATGAAGGAGGACGAGCACGGCGCACGCGTGAGCAGCGACGTGCAGAGCGGCACGGATGGCATGCGGCAGCATGCGAATGAGTTTAACCTGTTCAGAAGGAACAACGACAACATTTTCACGGCGCTGTTCTTCTCGTGGCTCTCGTCGTGTCTCACGTGTCAGACGTGCCGGGGCGTGAAGGAGAAGGGCGAGGCGTTCCTTTCGCTTGAGCTGCCCATCCCGAACGAAGCGAATTATCACCCGTCGGTGATTCTTACGTTCAGGGAGCGCAGAGAGCTGGTGGGTGGCAAGCTGTGCGTGAGGAGACGGCGCGAACGCGCCGAAGAGCGCACGCTTGCGCGTAACACGCGCACGCACGAGAGCAGAACGTTCGTCAAATCGATCAAAATATTTGTGGAGAGCACGCACACTGTGAAGGAACTGCTCACCAGGACAGCGCACAAGTACAAGACGGCCGGTCTTGTTGCGGTCAGCAATGCGAAGCCGTTCAGCGTGCTGAAAGACACCGACCTGATCGCACAGCACAAGGAGGTGTTCGTGTTTGAGTACGACCCTGCACGGGAGTACGTGTGGATAAGGCTGAGCGTGTGCTCGTTCGTATTCTATACGTGTGAGATTGATGTGCCGTTTCTTGTTGAGGTGCGTAGATGTGATAATGGAATGATAGAGGGCCTGTTTGGAGAGATAATGTGCTACGTAGATGAGGAGCACAGCTACGGTGGGGATGGCACGTGCAGGAGTGATACGTGCAAGGAATGCGTAGGAAGGGATCTTAACAATAATGTTGTAGGGGATTGCAGAGGGGATGATAGTTGTAAGGAGGGGGATGGCATAGGAGGGGATTATAAAG